GATGCAGTCAGGGGCAATTCTAGGAATAAAATGAAGGAAAAGGGAGGGGGCGAATACATAAGGCGTAAACTTGCCAATGCTCTTTAGCGGTGCTCTGTGAAAATGACTAACCAACTATATTCCTCAGAAAAACCGGCTATAACTTAAGAATCACTTTTTTGGGGAGAGGTATTATATTGTTATATTGTATGTGTGAGAGACAGGGGAGCAACTCCATCTCCTCCTGCCCCTTCCCCCAGACACTCAATCACACCTTTAGAATCGCCCCTCGATATAGTCTACGCAACAAAATGTATAAATGGTGATTTTTGAATTTAAAGCACCTACATAATGTTATTTTCTTAAAAAAAATAGAAGTAAACTCTTATTTGTAAACATTTTCAAATTTTTAGAGCTGTTGAGAAATAAAGTTTTGCACGATTGTTCAGATAAAAAATTGCTGTTAAAGCACGCATGCTCTAATTAAAACTCGACTTTTAACGTAGTAAAACGTTAAAAATAATTACCTTTTGGTTAATTATTTTTTTATTTGAAAATTAATATCTGCTAACCTAATTCTAAATCTAATCTAAATTTATCTGGTGGTCTTCGTTATATAAGTAAAAACTTTTTTTCAAATTATTTTTATAGTTGTAGAAACTTAAACATTAAAGGTTTTTATTTAAAAAATCTCAAATTTAAGACTTTTTTTTAAACTTCAGAATAGTATTTTCTCTAAATATGGTTTCTCGTTGCTGATCAACTTTTTTTGAAAACTTTAATCAATTTTGACATAAAAGATACCTTAATACTTCATAGGCATAAAAGATAAAATAATAGTACATTGTATCTATTTACAAAGATAAAATAATAGTACATTCTATCTATTTACAAAGAAAAAGGGTGCTTTAAAAGATTATCATTTTTTCCTTCATTAGGAAATATAGCGACTAGACGACATTTTATTTATTTAAGCAATTTCTTCCCTTTTTATGAAAAAAAAATTAATCTAGTTTGCAATGATATAAAAATTCAAAATTTAAAAAAGTACTCTGTTTGATGTTTAATAAATTACAATAAAAACTTTAGTATTGACTTTCTTTTGCACTCGATTAAATTACTTTTAAAATAAACTAAAAAAAACAAAAAAAAATATAAACTTGCTTTTTGCAAAACTAATGTAGAACTTACTTAAAATTCCCAAGTCTTGATCCCCTAGTTGATCTCTGAACTAAACCCTACCTAAATGTACATTTTTTACGTTTTCATTATGTCAGTTTTCAAATATTGACTTGATAGTTCTAGTATTGTCTGCAAAGTTTGGTTGGACAAACCATGTCTTTAAAATATTCACTTGAATGTATTAGTATTGTCTGTAAAATTTGGTCCGATTTGAAAGATATGGCTTGCCTTTAAAATTTTATTTACATCTAACATGCGTGAAAGTCATTGTATATTAAAAAAATTTTAAATATTGTTTTTAAAGCGTTTAAGCTTAGGTTAAATAAAAAAAAATTCTTTAATAAAGTTTTAAAACCAAAAAAACTTTTAGTTTTTTTAGTTTTATAAAAAAGTTCTGACCTATTTTTTATTTTAAAAAAGAATCGTGTTTCCTGTAAAATATTGTAATGAATAAAATCAAAAAGCTCCAGTTTATTTGAGTGAACAAACTGTTTTTTACACTTGGGCATTGTTCTCACTTAATAAATTTTTAATAATCAATTATCTATCAATTATTACCGAAACGAATGTTGTATTGTGCGAACAAAACACTTTTTTCTTTTATCAAGTAAATATAAATATCAAATAAAAAATTATTATTATTATTTTGTGCCCAAGTTTTTATTTTTTAAAAACGCTAGAAAAAAATTGAATAAAAAACAATAACTTAAGTTTAATAGTTTTTAGTTGAGCGCACCTATTAATTATTATTAACCAGCCGAAAAATGCTGCAACAAACGGTTTGAATTAACTACCCAGAAAATGATGCAACAAACAGTTTGAGCTAACAAACCAAAACAAGCAACAAGCGGGTTCCATTTTTAGGACCAAAAATTTTTTAACTGGTCCAATATTTAAATAGATGATAGTTTTAAGTATATAGAACGTGAAAATAAAATTAACTCAAATTTTTTTTGTAACTTAGCGCGTTTTGCAGATGGGCTCCTCATATAGAGTATACACTTTTTTTTTTATTATTAATATTATACTTTTTAATCTTGACTTTTTGTATTGAAACGTATTGAAAAAAACTTTGTGGACAGATTTTTTATTGCTGCAACATTCTATTTTTAGACCGTGTTGAAATTTTTTTTTCCACATTCAAAAATATTTCAATTTAGTAAATGAGCATTTTTTTTTTTTTTTTTTTTTTCCTACAGTTTTTTGAAAGATATATAATTTTTTTATTTTCAATTTATAAGATTATAAATGTTTAATTTTTTTCTTAGATTATTTTGTAACTTTGAATAGAATTGCCTGGCTGTTAAGTTTCGTAATTAAAACAGTTTTTTATTTTCTAAAGGAAACATTTTAAATTAAAGAAGCTAATCAGAGTTCCGCGAAAGAGAATTTAATAGGAAAGTTCTTTTTCCCATTTCGCTTGCCCAGAGGTGGGGATCGACTCACGGATACTTTGTTTTTGAGGCAAGTGCACTACCACTGCGCTACGGCTGCTCATTTACTTATAACGGAGTAAATAGAATGCTATAAGGCGTTTAAGCTATTGGGAGAAGTTGATTATAATATTTTTTGTTTCCTTAATAATTGCTAACAAAATTTTCGTTAAAAATATTTCTTTGTGTGTGAAATTTTTTTTTTTTTTACTTTTTATTTGAAATAAAATATAACTAAAATTAACTTTATTTAAAAAAAATTTATCAACTTTTTTTTACTATTTGGTTTTACAAGAACTTGTTTTGAAAGAATCTTTTTAAAGAGAAAAAAACAACTACTTTTACTGACAGAATTAAATAAATAACAAAATATTTTTTTCTTCTAAAGGTTCCTTTAACACGTTTAGATATTTACATTTTGCAGAAACACTATTGCATTTATTAAACGTGTTTTTAAACTTTTATGCACATGCTATTTGAAGTGGTTGCTGTTTCAAACACTAACGGTTCCAATATAACGTCATGCAATTAACAGTAAAATTGAATGTAACTTTATAAAAAACACACACTTCCATTCGTTCAGAAACTTTCAGAACGTCTTTTAAACGTTCATAAAATATCTTTTAAGGACCAAATGCCGGCTGGGTTATTATACTGGTGTTGTATTATAACCAATCACCTCCTCAACTCCTAAAATAAAAAGTTTTAATTATAAAATATATAAATGGTTTTAACTTCTAAAGTAGCAAAGAATAAAAAAACTGAAAATGTGAAGTTCTTTTTTTTTAAATCATCACCAGTTCTTCCAGTATATTTACTTAAAACTCAAATAAAAAATTATATAATTTTATCAAATTTTTTTTTTGAAAGTTATAAGATCGTAGTTCTGCAAATCGTATTGAATATTATCATCCATTTTTCTTCAAATAAATGATAAAAGAAGCAGATGCGGGATGGAAAAAACTCATCACCACTTACTTGCAAATAAATCAAAAAGAAAAGTTAAAATCAAAAAAAAAGATCTTAGTTAAAAATAAAGTCTGTGAAAGAAAAAAAATGATAAACAACTACTACATTATGTTTAAGAAATCGACTGATTCATAAAAATAAGACGTTTTTTGCAATTTATTATTTATTGAAAAGCTCAATGAAGAAACATTTTAAAAAAATGGTAATATATTTTTTTAGCGTTATTCAAAATAGAATGGTAGCGTGGAACACTAGAATGGATGTTGTGCTAGAACTTAGTTGTGAGGTTAACTTCATTTTCACAGAAAAGTTTTAATTTTTTTAGGATTTTTTGTGAAAAAAATTCAGCATTTAATACGACAAAAAAAATTGATTATTTTAAATCAAAGTATAAGTTTTAAAAAAAAAAAATTTAGATTAACAAAAATTATCTTTTTCAAAACTTTGAGATTAACAAGAATTATCTTGACTGTCATCTTTTATCAAAAGTCATCTTCGCACAATTAAGCTTGGTGATTGAGTTTTTTTGTAAATTTATATTACAAAGCTAAGATATTACATGATTTTGCTTTTTTATCTA